TAGCCTACTTAGTTTCCTGGACGAGGCGTGACAAGAGGGGTGCAGTGAACAGCAGAGGGCAGCGCGGGACCTCAGCATGGGCCGTGTGCAGTAAAACATGGTGATGCGGGTGATGGAGGATGTGGCAAACACCTCAGCAGAGGGGATTTAAGAGAGTTAGTGATGGTGAGACAACATGAAACAAATTATATCCCATTTGGTGTTTCTTTTTCTGCAGATGATGCAACACCCAGACACAGGCAGAGTACTCAGCAGAAAATGTTCTCTCACATGCCTACCGCTCTCAGCTTTGCGTTTGTACAGGTGAGTCATCATATTATTTTACATCTTTATATGCATATACATGTTTTTGTATGCTGTTGCTCTTGACAGGTGGAGCAAATGTATATGTATGTATATTTATTCGCGAAGTGCATTGCAGTTGTGTTTTGCATCATTGTTATGCCTGCTGTTCAGCATCTTCTTACAGTCAAAAGACAAGTCCAATGTCTGTGGCTAATGTTTGGAGGCGTTGAGTTGGTACTGCTCGATGTGTCGGCAGTTCACCCTTTTCCTGTTTCCTCTTCCATCATGAACTACACAGTAGCATGAGAGATATTGTGCAGATTGAAGATCTCGCTGTTCTGACACGTCACCCTACACTGTGACAGCAGCTTCCATCGCTCTCTTCACTCCAGACATCCGTCTGTCCTCACAGTCCCCCTACTGTCTCTGATCTATCATGCAACCCCCCCCGACTTTATTCCCTAAGTTACAGCTGCTTCTAACTTTTACACGCATTACAAAAGAGTCCTTAACAACAGACTGCGTTTCAATGTTGTGTAACCTGAGGAAAAATGTGTGTGTGTGTGTGTGTGTGTGTGTGTGTGTGTGTGTGTGTGTGTGTGTCAGCATGTCAAAAGTAGTTTAGGTCACTTTGTCTTCTTAAGGGTGCTTGGCCCATCGTTGTGTCAACATCTATAAGAAGGCAGCGGTTCCTATTTGGATGGTCATTTCTCTACCCCAGAGCATAAAGATGGCTACTGTCGTCCCAGTAAGTATCTGCGTGCTGTGTGTGTGTCTGTGTGTGTGTGTGTGTGTGTGTGTGTGTGGGAATACTTGTCTATCTTTGTGAAAACAGAACAGAAAACAGACTTGAAAAGTGAGGTCACTTTGAGAAAGAGTTCAGACTAAAGGCTTGTAAATGCTTTATTTAAAAGTGACCTCACAAGAATAGGAGTTGGGTTGATGTATTTGTGTGTGCGTGTCAACTCAAACTTTACAAAAGTGCGTCTTCTTTGCTAATAAGTGCTGTGTCATTCCTGAAGTATACAAACCAGTTGAATTGGTGAAATGTGTTATTGATATTAATATTTAGTATGAAAAAAGTTGTGTTTTCTCTTTTATTAAAACTAAAACTATTGTCCATCTGTGTGAAAATCGGTGTGTGCATAAACTAGTTTGCTAGTTTAGTGCATAAACTAGTAAACCGTTGTTGGGAAAATGTGCACGATGAAGCGTTGTTACTGTAAATACATCTGCACAGTTTAATTGTCACTGTGTGATCACTCCTCTGCGTGTGCATGTTCGTGTGTGCGTGTTTCGGGTTTCAGACTGAGAGGATGATTAGGCCGCTGCGAGGAAGACAGCGGCCCAGAATTACTGCAGCATCTATTATGCTCCAGTAGCATGTTGGGAGGCTAATAATATCACAGTGTGATTCAATTTGAATTAGTATGTCTCAATAATTATTTTGAGTAATAAATGTGGTGTAAAACAGCTTTATGGGCGGTATAAAGAGAACACATTCAGCATGGATCATGTATTCCCTCGTTGAACATGAACTGGAAATACAATATTTATCTAAAATACATGTCAAGACATTTGAGTTGTGCACAAGAGGATCAGGTCCACATGAAAAAACGCACTGAGGCATACTGATTTTTAAAACCTTGAGAAAATAGAGGGATCTTAAAAAAAAGTTAAAATAATTACCGCTTGAATCTCCAAACATTTTAGTTCACCCTCTGTACCCACAATTCAGAATTCAGGCTGTAAGGCGCAGCCCACATCAACAGCTCCCTCATTTGTTACATATGTACTGTGTGTGTGTGTGTGTGTGTACATGGATGTATTGTATATTGGAATGAAGTATGTATGCATGTACAGTATGTCTGTGATCCATCTCTTCAGCAACTCAAGAAAAATGCCCCCCTCCGGCCCCCAGTTTGCATCCTGCTATAGCAGTGTTCAGCCCCTGCAGCTGTTCGGCAGAGGACCCGGACAGGCCAACTATCTGCTTCTCCTCACACAGCGGGGCCCTCGCCCGCGGCCCCGCCTGGTCCTCCACGCTCCAAGGATGAGCCTGAGACAGATCTGTCACATGCTGAAGGTGATGAAGCAGGTCAGGAACGGAGAAGCTGCTGCAACCAATTCCGCCGCCCCCGCTGTGAGGTGAGGAACGAAGCGGCTACGGTGACCTCTGGCTTGTTGCCAGTAACTGGTGCAGTTCGTTACATATCTTGATTCGTAGTGGTTAGTGTCATCATCATGTCACCATCTCAGCTTAGCATGTTAGCATGCTAACATTTCATTGTTGGGGGTAAGCACAAAAGCAGAGCCGAGGCCGCTGGTTTCACAGGTATTTGTTCACAAAGGAATTGGACAAAGTGGATGTTCGACTTGCTGCTGGCGCTTGAGGAAAATACAATCGCCATACATCCGTTGTAGGGGTTGAGATTCTGGATGAGTGAGCCTGTTGCCCGGCTTGTAGCACCATAGGCAAAGTCAAGATGTCGCCAAAGTCATTGGGCTTTACCCACTAGGGGCCTCAAATATCGTACCAAACTTCCATTGCAATTCACCGGTTAGATACTTCCATCTGGGCCAAAGTTTTGGAACAAGCAATTAACCATCATTGCTGGACTGATGGTAGCTCGCCAGCAGGGCTATAAAATTGTATTTTTTCTCAAAGAATCATTAAACAGTATAAAAATACAATGTGTACCTCTCGGATAGTCAAAACATAGAAAATTAGGTAAAGCATATTGTAATATACCTCACTACCGTCTTGGCAACCACTCTATGAACGGAGCCTTTTTACACAGCTGTACATTTTGACGTTTAAGAAAGGTTAATAAATAATTTACAGATGCTTTAAAGAACATAATTACATTTTTTTTGTATTATTAATAAATAGATATTGGGCTACCCTAAGTTCCATATACTTTTATTTTTAAACATTAATTATTTAAAGGGGGGCTTTATTAAGAAGGGGTCCAATTTAGTTTCATCTGGCAGTTTTTCTTTTTTTTCAGTTTTTTTTCACAAACCACTTTAAATTCACTAGATCACTATATGAACACACACTGAAGTGATCATTAGATGTTGAAACCTATATTAGTAATGTTTATTTCAGAATACTTCTGTGTCGTCTTTTTAAAAATTCTTCTGGTGTACATGATTGAGTGCACAAGCATCCATCGAGCTGATGACTAATCAGTAATAAGACAATTCATTATTGATGCGTCGACGGAGGATAATAATTTGTGCCGGTCTCTTCAGCCCCAAACGGGACTCTGATCACACCGGCGGTTCGAGGCCACAGGAGTACAGAGTAAATAATTAAATACTCTCATGTCACTGCCAGAACAAACACTCAATCACACTTCCTCTCATTACCGTGTAGTTTCTCTCTTTCTCTACCCAGGAAGCAAGGGCCCGCTGCCCCGGCCCCCGCGTCGCCCTCCACCAAGTCAGAGAAGAAATGCGTCCCTAGTTGCCTCAGACCCAAGCGCAGCATAAAACGGGTGCGCTGACTAACGGAGCACGAGCCCACTGCTACCCACCAAGGTACGACTCACAGGGACACAGGAGATCATCACCCCTCCGATGGGAAAGGTCACAAAGATCATTCCTATTCGTACAGGTAGCCACGTGACCGAGGACGTTGGAGGACGACCTTCGCTTGACCTGCTCCCTGACAGGAGAGGAAGGCGTTATCGCTCTTCCTCAAGATTTTTTTTGTACCGCCTAAATTGACTGAAACTAGAAATTTGACAAATGACATATTGTTCCCTCAGATCCTCTGGAGAGACTAGAGGATTTATATTCGTTGAGCTGCCTACTGCTCTTACATTTGTTTGTTTCGGAAACAAATGTTTGTTGCATTTGAGTGTTGTTTATTGATAAAACAAAGAACATCTTTCATCTAATAATTTGTTTTTGTTTAACAAGCAATTGTCTGAATTACTCTAAATTCATGAAATTTCAGCTGTTTCATCTGTTCTTTGCATGCAGCGTGTTATTGTGAATTTCCTGCAATAAAAAATGTTTTAAGAAGTCATTGATAAAACAATTATAACTGCACGCTTGAATCCTGTATTAATTTTTCATAGGTAATAAAGGTTATCGTATGCAGGTATATATTCCTTTAAAGACTATGACCAACACAAATAGTAGCTAAACAAACATCATTAGAGGATTCAAATGAAAGATGATTGGTGCACGTTTCCAACAGAGCCCCGCCCCCTTCCAACCAAGAACACTTATGTTGGTTCCGAAATAGTTTACTAATACTCTTCAAGGGATAAAAAATATATATATTTTCGCACATTTTTTCAGTTGGCTGGTGTTTCGCTGGAACGCTTAAAGAAAAAAGTTCCCGGCCAGAGGTAAAGACGACACCCAAAAGCTTGCTATAAAAAGCAAAGGCTGAAGGCAACAATGGCGCATTTTCCTCATGATGAAAGGTCTCAGATGCAAAAAGCTGAGGTCCACAGAGGCATTCCACAAGCAACTTTGAAGATGCCCAAAGAAAGCCCATCAATGACCTGGTTCAGGTGGTCTTCTTGAAACATTTACACACCTTGAGGGCTCTGCCAGGGATGCAATGTGCACTCTTTCCTTTGAGAGAGTAATGGGTTGGGCCCTTTGTCCCTCCTCAACTGCGGGTGTCGTTGTCAAAGCGGGACCAATTGGGAGTGGAGCAGACATTATCTCTGCAGTGAAGACGCCTCAAATGAAAGTATGTCGCCAATACTTTAATCTACACGATCATATCATAGGGAAAAAATGTAAGTGGACAATGAAACAAAAAGCTACTAAATCTTGATTCAGTAGACTTGATTCAAAGCTCCCGTGCAACATCTCATGTGTTCGAGAGTGAACACTGTTGGCAGTTCTGTGCATGCAGTCGTGTGAGAAAGTATCACAGCCGAACGAAAGGTGGTCCGATGGAAAGCTACTGACTAAGGTCCAGAAGTTACATGCTTTCTTTACAGAATAATTATTCTGCAGACAAGATACTGAGGAAACCACAGCTCACAGAAAACAGAGCTACCTGTGTGTGTGTGTGTGTGTGCGTTTGTTGTTAAAAGGGGATGTCCATGCAAATCCATATACATCTGCTTCTGTCTGTGTGTGTGTGTGTGTGTGTGTGTGTGTGTGTGTGTGTGTGTGTGTGTGTGTGTGTGTGTGTGTGTGTGTGTGTGTGTGTGTGTGCAGCAGGAATCTGAGCAAGGAGTCAGGTTGTAGAACAGAGGAAGCTGAAGCTCTGGTTTCTGTACAGGGCGACATTGGATACCACACACACACACCCACATGCACGCACAACTGTTTAGTGACCTGTGAAAGACAACTACATTGAACACCGTAGTTAATTATAACCTGCACAGCGGCAAGTACCACATAATGAAATAAACAACAAGCAGTCATGTGACAAATGAAATTGTCAGTCAAGAACTAATTAGACGAATTGAGTGTCCCTTTTCCCACACTCCGACAAGTGCTGCAACGCACCGGCAGGAGTCCAAACCGGCACAGGGGGAATATTATGACAATTATTAAACGGGGGAAAGACGGAGAAAACATTTAAAGGTAGAAACTTGTTAAAATTTTTTGGTAAAGATATTGTAATAAAACGGTAACGGTGGCCATGCAATATTTGGATGAGAAAATGTTAACATTAATTGGTTAATAACTTAATCAGGAACAAAAGGTATTTTCCATATTGTCTGGCTGAAATTATGTTCATACATTCTCTTTTGTTTCAAGATTATACATAACCCATTATATGTTTAATGCTGACCTGGAATGGAAATGGAAATACAGAGTATTCAAATTCAGGTGATAAAACTATTAGCTCAGCATAATCACGTTATTACAGAGGTGTAATTTCTAAATGCAACACTTGTGTCAAACCTGTTACAGTTATAAAATAAATATCTCAACAATTTTAGCATACTGCGACTTCAAAGAATTGGGGTTGAAATGGCAAGAACTTCAGTTGAGTTAAACATACAGCAGTTATGAAGCAACATATTTGGAGTTAAATGCAAGTCCAGTATTTGCTCTCTTTTGGTCCCAACCACCCCCTGCAGAAAATGGCTCTTTGTTTGACTTCGGTCTGGTCTTCTGCCTGAAGCACCTATCCTGACCTTTTGGAAGCAACCGGCAGAGACAGCAAACTGGTTGTAGCAGCTTTACACAACTCGAGCGCTGCTGTCACAACAACCCTCACTGACACACTATGATCCGTTTGCTTAGAGTCCATCGCTGTGTTCACATCGAACTCGTCATTTTGAACATGTTTAGTTAAAGGTTTCGTGTCCAGTGTGGGTCCTTAAGTGTGTTATCAGATTGTGAAGTCAGGTGATCGTATGATTACACATCAAGAAAATGTGTCTTCGTCCAAAAATACAAAATAATATTGTACTGTGAAAAAGAAAAAAAGAACTAGCGATAACTCCCTTTTGACACAGGTCATCTAAATAAAAATCCTTTATTTTTCATTAATATTATTATGATCATTCTTCTAGAGAGTCCACCGTGCCACTGTCAGAAATGGAGTAGTAGACGTCTGTCTGTTGGGGGACACAGGACGGGGGACGATGTGGGGGCGGGACAGGCGGGGGGGGAGGGTTCTCCATGCTGATTGAAACAATCTGGGGATTATATGAAGGAGGGACAAGGGAGCGAGAAGAAGAAGACGAGGAGGAGTGACTGACCTTTAAAAGTGTTTTGGTGTGTGTGTGTGTGTGTGTGTGTGTGTGTGTGTGTGTGTGTGTGTGTGTGTGTGTGTGTGTCTGTATGAACATATCTGTGAAGAGTGGAACTGGTCCGAGTTACTTTGATCCATTGTCACTGTACACAGTTAATATCACAACTGGGTACAAAACTGAGGTAACATCTTCTTCTTCTTCCTCCTCTTCTTCTTCATCATCTGGCGGGAGGAAAGATGGGAAACTGTTTCAGAAACACAAAATTTAACAGAAAAGTCTTCCTTCTGACGCTTGACTCCGTGCCACAGTTTTTAACGCTACTTGTTTGAGGCGTTCCGGGTCCCTTCAAAACGTGAATAAATAACAAAAAAACCTGGAATAGAGCATGAAGTCCTTTAATGTGAAAAAAAGTGTATAGTGGTGCTGATGGGAGAAGAATACATGTTTTCTAACCGTTACCTTCATTTCATCGCGCCGTAGTGTTGTCACTGGTTACCATGTTATTGTCAGAGTTTGACAGAGACTGCTCCTTTATTATCGGGTCTGCAAGAGGAGAGAGGAACAAACTTTAGTGCTCAGGACTCTTCTAAATGAGACTTGAAGTGTGCAGTAGAGATGTTTCTGTGGAGGAAAGGACAGTCGGACGCTTGGGCCTAATGTTAGACGCCCCCTGCTTGTTTGCATGTATGACGACAGACGCGGAAACTACTTGGAACCACCGCGGTGGGAATGAGGGGGGAATATGCCACGGTCACTCCCAACTACCATCTGCCTTCTTTACATCTCAATGCTACAAGTCCTGCAACAACGCCCCCAACGTGCCGGCTGTGCGCGTCTCGCTCACAGAAGTAGGGCTGATCCATGGCCTCCGTGGCCGTCAGCCTCTGTTGGTGGTCGTAACGTAGCAGCTTGTCCAGCAGGTCCAGAGCTTCAGGACTCACCAGGTGCTGGTTCTCCGTCTGTACAAACTGTTCCCAGCGCTTCCTGCTCTGCCTGCACACACACACAAGCCAATTAGCACTTTAACATTTCCCTCTAATGCTGCCTGTGCGTATTTAAATTAAGTGATTTGCAGTTGTTCTTTATATATATATATATATATATATATATATATATATATATATGTACACAGCACATGCCCGTAATATTGTAAAGTGCAGGAAAGTGTGAGGGGTCTGTTGGGACCACAAGGAGGCAGAGTCGGAGAGGACTTACTGTCCCAGCAGGTCTTTGAAGCGCGGGTCCAGTTCAATGTGGTATTTGCGCAGGTAACCAAACAGCTCGTCCGTCCCAAGGACCTTGGCGATTCTTACCAGCTGAAATAAGAACATTTGAAATATTATGACATTGTTTCCCCCCCCCGCCCCTCCCTCTCAAAAGGCTCTTGTTCTGTTGGACCGGCAGTCCACCTGTCGGAACAGACACCAGAGGCCTTGTGCGAGCTGAGGATCAAGGCATCAAACACTACCTGCTTTTGTCACATCACATGCAATGTATTGTGAATTCAAAAGAATAATTAAATGTATTTATGAAATACCCTTTATGGTGTTGTATACTCTTGTGTGAACTGAATACTTGATAAGTGAAGAGAGTCTTCTCAATAACGCACCTGGTCGTAGTTGTCCTGTCCGTGGAAGAAGGGCTCTTTCTGAAATATCATACTAGCCAGCATGCAGCCCAAGCTCCACATGTCCAGGCTGTAATCGTACATCTGAAACACAGGATCATCAAACAGCACTGCCGATGATGAAAACATAGACATTAGTATCATCCATGTGTGCGGACGAAAGCTTTCTCTGGCTGTGTTCTTCTCTTATATTTCTGAAAGTTGTTTGAAAAGGTGTCGGCTGGGTTACGGTGTGGGTTTGTTTTACTTGGTAGTCCACCAGGAGTTCGGGGCCTTTGAAGTAACGCGAGGCCACTCTGACGTTGTACTCCTGGGATGGGTGGTAGAACTCTGCCAAACCCCAGTCTATAAGGCGTAGCTGTGGAAACACACAAGTCATCGTCCTTCATCTTCACAGAACGCCTCTCAAAAAGAGGAGAAAAAAACTCCAGCTTAACTGTTTAATTGGAGAATGGCACAGTTAAAGGGGTGTGTTATGAATGCTATGTGGACATAATCCACATCTGCTTTAATTTGTATAATGCAGGAAATGCATAATGCTTTCTTGGACAATATAACAAGATTTGATGCTGTAAAGACAATAATAAAAACTAGCTCGTTTTTATTATTGTCTGCTTTCTTGAGATCACAAGCAGCACCAACCACTAGGTAGATATGATGGCAGCTAAGACTGATGGAAAGTATTCTGACTGCCAATTATAAAGCAACAATAATCTCCTTTCCAAATTGGGGAGAATATGAACATACAACAAAGGGGGAATGATACAATGGAGAGAGAGCAAAACAATATATATACATCAAAAGTCAGTGTCTGTGAGTGAGAGAGAGTATGCGGTGTGTGAAGACAAGAACATGAAAACAGGACTTTTTAGGGCACCAGCTACCTTTCTCAACTGGTGGTCGATCATCACATTGTGGGGTTTAACGTCGCGGTGCATGATTCCCATACTGTGACAGTAGTCCAGAGCCTGGCAGGCGCGCACGCGCACACACACACACACACACACACACAAACAATCAGAGCAGACAAATGTATACTAATATTATGAGATCCCAGAACCCAAAATAGAGACAGAAGGGAAAATGTCTTATTCAGAAGATGAGATGCCACTTATTTTTAAAATAGAGGGGGGAAAAAAAGGAGGGGCTGCAAGTCAAAAGACTCACCTTGAGTAGTTCATACATATAGAAACGGATATCATAATCTGTCAACTTCTGGTACAGCTCCTGCAGGTAAAAGCATTTTTGTTAGTTTGAAACGAAAAAGAGAAAGCTGCTGCCTCCTTTACTGATTAAGTAATGACTGAATGATTGAGAGAGGCGGCCATTGTACCTTGAAGTCTGTGTTATTGATGCATTCAAAGACGAGCGCCGGAGTCCTGGACTGTGCCGCCACCACATAGAGACGAGAGAAGGGAGGGAGACGACATGAGTCAAACACAAGGACGGTGACCGAATGGCCGCGTATCTGAAAAGGCCCCGGCGGGGTCGTGACCTGCACATGAACTGGACGTAAGGAAAGATAGTCGGCCTGTTGCTACTTAATTCCAAGCACATCGTCAAAAAACGGTGTATTTAATAATTAGGACTGTCAAAGTTAACACGTTGATCTACGAGATTATTGTGCCCGCGATTAATCCGATAAAATATTTTAACGCAATTAACTGCTAGGCTACATCCACCCTGCAGAGGACCACCACTGTGTTCCTAAAAGACAGGGGTTTGGAAAACGTCCCGGCTAAATGTGGGGAGATTGTTGCCACTTCAAACACAGCCGTCAAATGACGGAGAGTTGAGAGCAAAGCAAAGTGCACGAGGACAACAGGAAGAGTCGCTTGTTCAATGTTGCACCCGGTGGAATTCTGCCTCCAAGATGATCACATGTGTGTAGTTTTGTGTTTAAAATATGATTAAACAACAGTGTGTAAAATACAGGTTTTCTAAAGTGATTACTCGTTAATATAGATGATTTAATCTTTAGAGGAAAGACACTTTTATTCAATTTTTGCGATCAGCATTTTGGGCCGACGTGCCACTAGCGAGCCTACCCCTGGGTCTTTGACTGCGTCCACCAGCCGGATGATGTTGCTCCCACCTCGCAAGTTCTCCAGGATCTTGATCTCTCGCTTGATCTTCTTTTTCTTAACAGGCTAAAAAAGTAAAACAAAAAAATAACAAGATGTAAAAGTAGGGATATTTGTCTTTACCATGTCACACAAGGTTCTACTACGGAGAAATTCATTTTCGACTCCGAACATTCAGGTTAAGTGGATCCCACCGCTCACCTTCAGGATCTTGACCACCACTTTCTCGTTGTTGGTGATGTTGACGGCCTCGAACACCTCGCTGTATTTCCCTCTGCCCAGTTTACGGACCAGCTGGTAGTCCTCCTGGTTGCTATGGGAACGGAGAGACAACAGCGTGTGAGGAGAAAGACAAAAACAATCTCAGCATCCACATGCAAAGAAGTTAGTGATTTGCTGATGAATGTACTTGTCACTGTAATCAAGACTGTGTGTGTTGGGGGGGGTCCTGGTTGTGATCTCAAGAAAGCAGACTGGGTGAGCATGGGGATTGAGGCAGAGGTAAAGGGTGGGTAGAAGGGGGGTTGGGAGACTGTGTTATCTTTAATCACACCCTCACAGCAACGGGTCCAATGATTGACACCCATCTGTCCCACATGCAAACATCTGTCACACGTGCCAACATCTGTCACACATGCCAGCATGGGACCATTAGCTTAGCTGCTGTGGTCGGACATCACGCGAATGCAACGAGAGCAACCTGCAGTAAACGGAAACGTTCTCACTTCCAGTTGGGCACGTGGGCCTCGTAGTCCCAGTATTCCCGGCTCTTCAGGGTATTGACGTCTGCGTACACGCAGGACTTGCTACCGGCCACCGGACCAGTCATGGCGAGACCCGTGGCACGGGGAAGAATGCAGCTGGGGTCACAAACAGGGGCCGGGAGCAGCAGAGAAATAGATGTTGTTAGCTAACGTTAGCCAGCGATGCTACTCCCGCGCGGAGATGTCGCACCGACGGGGAGCGCGCGGCGCCGGGCACCACCATCGGCGGGGCTCGCGTCATGAGCGACCGGCTGTGCAGGGGGCGGGGGGGGCGGCGACTCGTTGGGATGGGACGGGCCTGAGGAGCCCGCTACCAGACGCCCGGGAATCTGGAGGGTTTTTCTTCTGCGGCCACGGACCTCCCCGGTGGCAACGGGTGAGCGAAGCGACCTGCGAATGAAGAGGAGCGAGCCGCCCGGATGTGGAGCCGCTGGCTGCCGGGGCGGAGAGGAGGGATGTGGGGGTCCACAGCGCCCCCCAGTGGGGAGGATGTGAAAGGAGCCAAAGTTGAAGGCTTGATTTCTGTCAAAGCGTTTGACAACTTTCACATTTGTCAAAAACTTTAAAAATAAGAATGGTCTTTCCAAATAAAAAATAAAAAAAACATTCCACATTATGTTTCAGGCATCGTATTATGTTATTAATATGATACTTGGTTGTCATTGGTAAGAATCGGATAATTACAGTGCAGTTTGTCATACAAATTTTGGGGAGTATTTATTTTTTAGGTTGACAAACAAGAACAATGTATTTCCTTTTTCAGAACTCAACCGGATTTATAGATGAAAAAAAGTTTTATGTGTTAGTGCTGTGTAATCAAATGCTACATACATACAGATAATCTCAGCATGAATGTAGACATACTGTGCGGCACCACGTTTCTTTTTCTTTTTCTTTTCCTCTCCTAACATCATTCATATGAACTACAATACAATTTGAAAAAAGGGCTTGGGAAGGGACGAGGACGAGGAGGAGGAGGAGGCACCAACTCCCAGGGACAGAACACAGGATCTAACACAGCAAGCATGCAGAGAGCGGGAGACACCAGGGTCTGACGGGGTTATGCAATGTAACTGGGAAGGTCAGAGACAATACTTTTATTTGTGCTTATACAGAATACATTCCTCTGCTTTCCCTGACTGATCAAAGCCTGGGATTGATCAAGATGCTTTGCCGTGTTCCTCACTTTCCGTTAACGTTGCTGCATGAGCAATTATCTTTTCTATTATCGTACACATCGGGTGACATCAAGTTCTTGGGCACTTGTATTTCTTGGAAAATATGAAACTAGCCTTATTGATTCCTTATGTGTGTTGTATGATTACACGTTTACACTACCACTAAGGAATTCATGTTTTGACTGTGATTTGGCTTTGGAAAAAACAAAACAATCATAGATAGTGTAAGCTGAGCAACAAGATGTTCAAAATAAAAACCAACTCATCTTCCCTTCCCCAGCGGCGCCCTGGTCTCTCCTCCGAATACACATTTTCATACAAATTGATAGATTAATAACAAAAAGAATACAAACAAATGAGAAACCATAAAAAACAGCACTTCCTTAAGTTGTTCTCAGTTTCACAATGCCAGGTTCAAAAAAAAAATATGGTGGCCAATGAGAGTTACCACCTGACCTCGTATGATGACGGACAGGGACAGAAAGCAGAAGAGGAGAAAGAGGGAAAGTGTTTAAGGCTAAAGACAAAAAGAAAAGTGAGTGCCAGAATAAAAAGGAAACACTGCAGTCCCCTTGGCCTCCTTCATTTCTATTCAATATGGCACCCAAAGGAACCACAATCATGTGAACCAATGTGTTCGCTTGGCTTCTCAAGCGCAACTACAATCTCATAGCATTCAGAAGGAGAGGAAGGTCTTCATTCACTCCGGTAGAAAAACCCAATGAAGGCCCATTGTGACAGAGTGGAGCTCAGCACGAAACAGGAGAAACATTGTTTGTATTCTTTTTAAAAATCTGAAACTTTGAACACAGGCTCTTTCTGCAAAAACAGCTGAATGAAAAACAAAGAAAGTGTATAAAAAAGGGACGCAGGTCTGCATAAACATTTCTAATGCAATTCTCTACAGTCTAAAGTTCCCTGTTTGACACAATAAGAATTTTCTCACACACACACACACGTTGCTCTTTGATATTCCCTGCAACACACAGATACAATCATTACATGAACTACTCAAAAATAAGGACATCTGTCAAAAACATTTTACGTGGTTGAAAATTGCAAGAATACAAAAACGGTTCTCACATATTGATTTTAAGAAACACCTTTGACTATATACACACGCACGCGCACACACACACACACAGTATGTACAGGTTGAGAGCTGGACTGTAATGTTCCAAATTGGACACATTCAAAACAAATTAGAACAGCAGCATTGACACATGCAGGAATATGCCCATTATATCAGTTTGAAGTAGATATATTTATATATTTTCTTTAATATTTGTCTATATTGACGGGTGAGACAGACTTTCTGTATTACTGGGAGGGGGAGGAACCTGATTTAATGAATGTGAGTACGTGTGTGTCTGAGGGGTTTAGTCAAAACAATCGCTGACAGCGACAGGAGGAGGGGGAGCAATCAAAACAAAGTAAAAGTGAGAGGAAGAACAAGAGCGGGACAGGACAAGCAATGTCATCAGGCATGAAGAGGGAGTAAAGTAAAACAAGGAAAGAAACCCTGTAGCAGCAAAGACAGTCCCTGTCCGAGTCAGCTAAGATGGATACAGATTCATTAAGTACACCTTTAAACATACTTGCTCCTGTTGAAAAAAATTTAAATAAAACGAGAGGCAGAAATGAGCAGGAAAAGAAAAGGCAAAGTGTAGCTCTGGGTCTTCGGGAATGACATGGTCACAGTACTTAAATGCTCAGGGCAGCTTAGCAAAGCAACAACAATGTGATGTTCACCTGGTGTGACTGAATGCAATGAGAACAGCCTGTACGGGCAAACGTGGAGAGGCTGAATCTACAGCCTACAACGGATGGACAAGAGGACAGGAGGTTACGGGCGACTGTCTGTTCCAAAGTCTTTAAAAGCATTTATAAGCACTGGGGCACCGGGCAGCCCCCTCCTTGGGCTGTGTGCTGCACCGTGTGATCCTGCAAAGAGCCCAAGTCACTGAAACGCTCGCCGCACCAAACGCACTTGAACTGGCCCTCCCTGGAGTGCGTGTTCTGGTGTTTGGTCATGTGCTCGCGCTGCTTGAAGCCCTTGTTGCAGTGGTCGCATTTGTACGGCTTCTCCCCCGTGTGCACCCGCCGGTGGCGGTTCAAGTCCGACGAGTATTTGAAGCGCTTCTCGCATTCGGGGCACTTCAGCGGCTTTTCCCGCAACGGGTCGCAGCGATGCTGGACGAACTCCGAGGAGGAGAGGAAGCGCCGGTCGCACAGCGAGCACTTCAGGGGCTTCTCCTGGCAGTGGGAGTTCTGGTGACGCTGCAGCGTGGAGCTCTTCTTGTAGCCCTTGCCACAAACGTCGCACTTGTAGGGCTTGTCCGGCGACGAGTTGGACGGCTCGCCGCACTTGTGCCGGAGCAGCTCCCCCGACTGGCTGAACTCCTTCTGGCACGAGGCGCACTTGAACAGGTTGTCCATGCCGTGGACGTGCTGGTGGTAGAGGAGGTGCGAGGGCTGCATGAAGCCCTTGTCGCACAAGTTGCATTTGAACGGCCGGTCGCTCGGGTCCTTGTGCGTGCGGCGGTGGCGCACCAGCGCGTACTGCTGCTTGAAGCTCATCTGGCACTCGTCGCAGTGGAAGGGCCGCTCCTCCGAGTGCGTGCGCTCGTGCTGCCGGAGGTCCGACGGCCGCTTGAAGCCCTTGCCGCACGCCGCGCAGCGGAATGGGCGGGAGCCCTGCGGGTGGCAGGGGTGATGGAGGAGCTCGGACGACTCCTTGAAGTGCAACTCGCACAGGTTGCACTTGAACAGGTGCTCGCCCGAGTGCACGTACATGTGGCGCACCAGGTGGGAGCGATGCTTGAAGCTCTTCTCGCATACGGCACACTTGAACGGGCGTTCACTGCTGTGTGTCCGCTGGTGGTGCTGCAGGTGGGACGACTGGCTGAAGGCCTTGTCGCACGTGTCACACTTGAAGGGCTTCTCCCCCGTGTGCACCCGCTTGTGCCGCGTGAGTTCCGACAGGTGCCTGAAGCCCTTCTGGCAGACGGAGCATTTGTACGGCCGGTCCCGTGACGACGGGAAGGGCAGGATGGACGAGCTGCTGCTCGCCGACGCCCCGTCGCTGGTAGGCTGCTGGGCGTTAGTGGAGTTGGGCGTGATGTTGCCGGAAGAGCCCGGCCGGTAGGTCTTCTCGCATATCGAACATTTCATCGGGTTGGTGCTGTTGTGGGACGTGTGGTGATGGGCTAAGGAGGTGAGCAGGGAGAAGCCCATCTTACACACCCCACACACAAATGGCTTCTGCTCCACCTGAACGCACTGGTGTTCCAGCAAGTCCGTTGCCTGGTGGAAGATCTTCATGCACTGGGTGCACTGGAACGACCTGTCCTGGTTCACCATGCACTGGTGCTCGTGCGGGTTGGCCAGGTGGGAAATGTCGTGTCCACAGGCCCCGCACTTGTGTCCTCCCTCTGCCCCTACCTGCAGGGAGGGCTGCTGGGCCTGGGCAGGGTGCTGCTGCTGACCATGCTGCCCGCCTCTGTGCTGCGGAGTCCCGCCGTGTTGCTGGCTGTGCTGCCCATGCTGGGCCTGCTGCTGCAAAGACGTGGCGTCCTGCTGCAGCACAATGCCATACACTGCACAGCCGAGGGCGCTCTCTGCCCCCGGGGGGATGGTGTGGACGACCGGAGGTGGAGCGGCCGCATGCTGCTGCCAGGCCTCTGACATGCGGGCCCGGGTGTAGGGATTCAGTTTGGCAGCTGGTGTGGCCCAACTGTTGTGAGAATGGGGAGATTGCAGTATGTTTAAGTAATGGGCTGAAGGCTTCAGAGTGTGTTGTAGGAAGGGGGATAAAAGCAGAAGAGAAGAAAAAAAACTCACTCCATTATAGAAAGTGGCGAGAAGAACTGGCGTGGGTGCTTGATGAAGGGGCTGTGACATAGAATTCAGCGTAATGCAGATGAGCACGGCTGCGTGGCTATCAGACTCAGATCATCCTGGTCTTTCATGTCATCTGTGGCCTGTATGAAAGAAAAAGGGAATCAAGCAAAGTCAATTTATCAGTAATGGCAAAAAAATGTTACTCAACAACAACAACAACAGTGTGTCCAGCTGATCCAAAGTACTGACAAAACAGGCTGGAACAAAAAATGATCAAAGTGGAAACAGCTCCTTTTGACACACCAGCTCCAGAAGAGTTATGATTTGTCTGCGTAAACTCATCGGTAAAAAGAGGCGTTGAAACTTAAATACCGCCAGAGGTGTGTCAGTATTAACAGGTGCTGCTTCTCCCCCTCCGCTCATCGGCGTGTTTACATCAATCACCACAGAGGGCACAAAGTCACGCAAAATACCAATGATATGTAACGTTTCCACGGGGCAATGTCGATAAAAGCGTCCCTATTCGATGAAACGTAAACAAATTGAAGATGTGCACCATGAATGCAGAGTCGCACAGAAAGAGATCATTCATTGACATAAAGACATGGACACAAGACGTTAGCGTACAATCGGATGTGTTCATCTTTAAATGCTCAACCATTCGCGGATTTAAAAAAAGAGAGAAAGTGAGCGTTGGCGGATTATAACGTGTTTTCGTCTGCGGTCAAAGATCACTGTAACCAGGATACCTAGCCTAGCCATATGCTAACGCAGCCGCGGGGGCACCGGAAAAGAGCTAACGCTAGCGGACCCGCCACGGGGAAATAACAGCTAAGCATTAGCCGCTGCAGCGACATCTTTGTTAGTGAGTGGCGCGAGTAAAGAGACACTTCTTCATGTACACACCTGGTACGTCCAGTAAAACCTGTTAGTATCCCCGAGGAATACAAGTCTGCCGTAGGTTAGCTGCCGGTTACTCCTCCAAATAACATTGACCTGGGTCCATTCCCTACATCCGCAAACGGTGCTCGGATGCTCTCTTGTTCGGGTGCTGTGGCTCTGAAGGCCGGAAGAAAATTGGGTTTGCGGTGCATTAAAATGGGCGACAATTACCCACGGCTACCCGCCCATCCGTAATCACTCACACAAGTATTTTAATTTCACGTGTACGTTTATTTGGATCCTATAACATGCTCTCGGCTAGCGAAAACGTTGTCCATTTGTGATAAATTGCTAGCTAGCCATCGGCTAGCTTCTGAGCTCCTGCCCGCGCACGGGAACATGAATAAACCATGAGTTAATTGGCTGGCTCGCAACACACACTACAGGAACACACGCATACACACTTACATACGGAACCGTTTATGACGGCTTAGATGTTACACTCGTGCAAACGTTTATCACCTGAACAATTAATTTTGTTCTAAAGATTAAATGGGTCTGTTTCTAAGTCAAAACTATCTTTTAGACAGAATTTCATCTTCGTCCCGTTTCACCTGAGCCTGTTTGCCACGGTATAAATGCATTTTTTTAACTATTTTTTTATTTCGGGGAATATTTTCAGTCCTAGCAGTACACAAAACACTCCGTCATCTATGCACTGCACACAAATAATGGCAGATATGTTAAAGTGGAAATAATTCCATGTCTACCTGTGTTTCAATGGGACACATATTTCCGTTACACCAGACTGTACACCGGAAGCGAAGCACTGCGTGGAGGATACGAAGGCCGGTTGTTCGAAGTTTGTCGGGGGGTAAATGCGGAAGGCGAAACCAAAACAAATGATATAATGAAACATCTACGTTAACTAGAAAAGGCATTTCCTGCTGAAAATGCGTTGGAATGCAAAAAGCTGAAAGCTGAAATGAACTTTTGAAATAGCTGAAAATACAGAAAGTTGAAGGGAATTTGAATACATTTGCTGAAATTACAGATATTAGAAAAGCTGAAATTAATTTGAAATTGCTGAAAATACAGAAATGGGAGAAGCTGAAAGAAATTTCAATAGATTTGCTGAAAAAGCAGAAATGAAAACAGCTGAAATAAATGTGAAATATTGCAAAACAAAACAGAAGTTGCAAGAGCTTAAATGAATTTAAAAAAGTACAGAAATAACAAAAGCTGAGATGAATAAAAAGAGGTTTAAAATTGTTTGTAGTAATATTAGTAGTAGTATTAGTTATAGTTGTAATTGTGGTAGTAGTACTAGCAGTAGAAGTCGATTTAGTATCAATAGCAGTAGAAACAGCTGGAATACTGATACTATTAGCCATAGGAGTATTTGTAATAACATTAGTAGTAGTTGTAGTATTAATAGCAGTAGAAATACTAGTAGTATGGTAGTAGAAGTATCAGTTGTAGTACTAGTAGAAGTACTAGTAATATTCGTAGTGGTTGTAGTAGTATTTGAAAGAGCAATGCGTATTTCAACGAAACCGCTTCATGGTTAAGGTACAGATGATCATTGAGGCTTTTATTTTGTAATGATGGAATTGGGTGAGGGGGGGTTGGGAGACAGAATGTTTGTTATTCAAACTAAGAAGTTTTTAATTAATAGGCCTCATCACAAACATTACAGCAAAAATTCCCTCCATGGGGCTTTATTTTGAAATTATTGGATTGGGTGGGGTGGGGGGGTGTAGATAGACGGAGAGAGGGGTGGTAAAGAAGAGATAGAGGGAGAGAGAGAGGGGGAGAAATAGACAGACAGACTGACTGAGTGATTAACAGTGAGAAGAGGTCGGGGGGGGGGGGGGGGGGGTGCGTCATGTGACATGCGTCATGTGACTCCACTAATCAGGTCATAGGAGCAGCTGTGAGTCACAGACAGATCTTGCAGCATGTGAGCGCGAGTAACCACGACAACGACGCACCTGTGCTCATTAACGAGCTGCTGCAAAGGGCAGAGACAGGACAGCGAGTTACACAGAATCCACACCTCAAACAAATGACATTCAGCGCAAAACTATAACAGCTATATAAAAATACGCTGTTTGTGCGAGACCCAAGACTCTACCGAACGCAGGGAGGTGTTATTTTTGTCTGTCCGGTAAAAAATACGGCTCCTGACAAAGTTTACAAAACGTGTACCTTCTGGATTTTTTGAGAAATATGGCGGCAGATTTGTATTGGAGCCTATGGGGCTTTTAGCAGAGGTTGTGTGACTGTTGGTCTCCGTAGGCCAAAACTAAAGAACTCTGGGATTCCATGAACGCATTAATCCAATCAGCACAACCATGCCCGCATTAATCTGAAGAAATGAAGCCTCTAGAGTGTATACTTTGGCTGCAATGACAGAAGTTCCATATTTTTTTAACCAGATTCTGGCGCTGCCTCACACTCTAGCCCTCGAGGTCCCCCCTCTAGCAGACGCAATACACACTCATGTAAAAGTCAGAAACGGAGCGAAGAACTAGTGAAACATAATCAGTGATTATGAAAAAAGTACAATAGATATCCACAAGCAGTTTTTTTCATAAAATAGTTGAGACCTGTGTCAACATTTGCAAGTTCAAATGGTGTCTGTAGCTGAAAGATTGGCGGAGCTGAAATATCTGAAAGTTGAAGAAGTTTAAGGAGGATTTGAAAACAAACTCCATTTGAAAACCATGTTAAAATATTAATGATTATTGATTTATATAAATTTAAGCTTAAGAGGTAGAAAGCTGAAAAGTCATAGCCCTAAAGCCAGAAAGAAGCTGAATATTTCAAAATTTGAACGGTTTAAATAGCTGAAAATGTGAAGGAGTTGAAAGGGGGTGCGGAAGAAATAGAAGAAGAAGCTGAAGAATAAAGATTCGAAGAACAATACTTGGAATGCATAATGCATTCCAACAATTATTCTGTGTTCGTTCGGCACAATTCGTTATGCCCTAACGTCATAATTGTAATGCGCACACGTCACAAACTCGTCCCAGGATGTTGGTCGGCTACAACAGCAGCTCGAAGGACGACAGTGAAGCGGCGACCGACCGACACAAAAGGGGGTCTCCAAAGTGTCAAGAGCAAGATGGTGGTAACAATGTCAGCCCAGCGAGGAAGAAACCCAAAATTGGGGAACAGGTTTCTAAAACTAGGTGTGTATATGTGTGTGTGTGTGTGTGTGTGTGTGTGTGTGTGTGTGTGTGTGTGTGTGTGTGTGTGTGTATGTGTGTGTGTGTGCCTGCTTGCGCGTGTGTGCCCTTCCTTTCTGAAGCCGAGTTACTTTAAGAGTTACTTTGAAGGATCATGCTTTATTGGGCTGTGTTTCCATCAGGCTGCCTCTTCCTGGTTGCCAAAAGTCGCTCAGCCTACAGAGAGAGAGAGAGAGAGAGAGAGAGAGAGAATGTGTTAGTATTCCCAACAGGCCTATATGTGTTTTACCCACTTACCCATATTAATGCGACGGGTGGGCTTGCATCTTGGCACAAAGCTCTTCAAAGTTTGGCGCAATGAAAGACAGTTTAAGCCTAAATTCCTTCTCAACAGCATCCAGTCTTTGCCAATGTTTAGTTTTAACTGCTGCCATAGCAGAGAAACCAGCCTCGCAGAGATAAGTTGTGGCGAAGGGCATCAAAACTCTCAAGGCTTGCTTTGCCAAGACTGCGCTTTCGTTTGAACTGTGACTGCAGTGCTCCATCAGATGACAGCTCGATCAGCTGCTCCTGCTCGTGTAATGACAGCTGTGGGACGGGCAGGGAAACTTCAAATGGATTGCGAATCCAAGCGCCAGATGTGTCCATAGGTGGAAAGTGTTTCCGTAGCTGCTCGGCGAGTTAGTTGAGGTGTTCAATTATGAGAGTTTTTACATGCTCACCCAGGTGCACGTCATTTTCCCCCAAGAACTTGTGAAGCGTAGGGAAACACAGGTGTGTGTTCCCACTGCCACAACTTGCCCAGAACCGTAGCTTCTTTATCATGGCCTCAACCCTGTCTTGTGTGTTGAACACAGTTACACTGACTCCCTGCAGACTTAGATTGAGTTCATTCAGAGCTGAGAAGATGTCCGCTAGATAGGCGAGCCTTTTCAGAAAATCTTCGTCATGCATACTGGAGGCCAAATGAAACGGATTCTCCTCAAAAAACTGCTGCAATTCGTGCCGGAGTTCAAAGAGCCTAGTCAGCACTTTGCCGCGGGACAGCCAACGCACCTCTGTGTGCAGCAGCAGTGATTTGTGTTCGCTGCCCATCTCGTTACATAACAGTGTGAATATTTGTGAATTTAGCGGACGAGCTTTAATGAAGTTCACCAGTTTGACTGCGTCGTTCAGCGCTGCAAGTAGATCAGCTGGCATGTTTTTGGCTGCGAGGGCCTCTCTGTGAATACTGCAGTGTAACCAGCTGATGGATGGGCAAACTCTCCTAATATGAGCTATAAGCCCCGTGTGTTTCCCTGTCATTGATTTTGCCCCGTCTGTGCAAATTCCCACACAGCGCTCCCAGTCGATGCCATTGGTCCTCATAAAAACGGCAATTAAATTGAAGATTTCCTGTCCTGTTGTTCGGGTAGCAAGGGGCCGACAGAACAAAAACTCTTCTTGTACCGATCCTTCAAAAAGGTAACGGACATAGAGACGAAGATTGGCCAGATTTGCAACATCTGTAGACTCGTCTACTTGCAGAGAGTAAAACTCACTTTTCTTCACACGGCTGAGTAGTACAGCCAGGATGTCTTCAGACATGGCATCAATGCGGCGCGACACAGTGTTATTGGACACAGGAATCATGTCCAACTTTTTTGTCTCTTTCTCTCCAATCATACACTCCACCATTTCTTTGGCCGATGGCAAACACACGTCTTCGGCCATTGTGTGCGGCAGCCCCTTTTTCCCTACTCTGTAACTGAGCAGATATGAAGCCCGTAGTGCGTCTTTCGTAGACCCAACGCATGAATGAAACTGCATTTTCTTTTGGCTTTTCTGCAACTCCTCCAATTTCACTTTAAAAAATATAAGGGGCTTGTGACTTAAATGGCCAGGTTTCGTGTGCATGTGACGACGGAGATAAGATGGCTTCAGACAGCTGTTTGCTAGAACCTTACTGCACAACACGCACTGCGGCTTCGGACAATCTGTATCGCCGATCCAAGTGAAGCCCAGACCCAGATAATTGTCATCATATTTTCTTCTTTTTTTCCCGTCTGGTGTTCACCCTCATCACTTCTTTTTTGGCATCTCCTACCCTGCTCTTCGGTTTCCTCCCGTGCATCTTCTGACTCCCGCTCATTTTCTGTCTCTATCCTCTCCGTCTCTGTTGCCTCCAAATCCTCTCTCTCTCTTGGTCCCTCTCCTCCTTCGTGACTAATAACTTTATTATAAGACGTCCCACTTGACAGTTTCCATGATTTCAGCCAGTTAAGCATATTTACACGATCAATGAAACGAGTTGGCGCGCATATTTCCTAGCGGCTGCAGTGCATGAAAGAAGAGCATGCGTAGAAGAAGACAGCTGCTGTCTTCTTCTACGTTTCTATCAAAAAATAATATATTATAGTATTTATATTTAAAATAAAAGCGATTACAAAGGAAATGTTTACTTACTTTCATGCTTTTTTTATTGTATGGAAAAATCCTTTTATATATGTCAATGAAAAAATCCCACTTAAAAAAACTGACCGCCATTATATTTGTCCTCCCGCGCACCCCCTGGTCGCAGCTCGCGCACCCCTTTGGGAATCCCCGCCCTAGTCCTTCATCTCTTTTGGGATTCCTCCTCTGCTGAATACGTGAACCTTGTGAGCAATCGTTTTTGTGGTCATGCACCTTAGTGGAATGGCCTCAGGGTACCTTGTTGCGTAATCAAGGATTACCAGAATATATGTGTCCTCTAGCCGATTTTAAGAGGGGACACATAGTCCATAGCAATACAGTAAAATGGCACTATTAATCTGTTATGGGGAGAGGTATGAGGAGACTCCTAAATGAGACTTGGGGCCGCTCCGAACCGGCCCCTCAAATTTGGCAGTAGGGAGGCTTCATCCTCCCCACCATCAGTGCAGGCCCCGATGAGAAGGCAAAAAAAGCGTTGTCTAGGGTCTACTTTGGAGCTCAGGGAGCTCCTTCTTTCTTCTAGTGCTACACACACCACTTTAGCCACACTTACTGACCAAACATACTGGTGGGAGTGGGCTCTCTCTCTTGGCACTTTAATTTTGACCCAAATTTCGTACTTGGGAACCGTCCCTGGTTTGGCGCAGCCAGGGATATAGTGGACACTCCCGACCCACCAGAACTGGGACTGGAAGGAATGGAACTTTCAGCTGAAAGCTGCCCTCAACTGTAGTGAGTGTGATGACCCCCGTAGGGTACTCTTTAGAGTCTCCGTGTACGCAGCAGACCGGCACCAACTCCCCAGGACTTAATGGTTCCAGAAGATGGGGTTGGACGAGGGACACAACACTGCCCAAGCCTACCAGCGCTTCTATGTCCGTCCCATCCACTTTATGACTGGTATCATATGGACTAGTGATGTTTCCTCCACCTAACAGGAGGCGAGCAAGTGAGCGAGTTTTCCACCCGATGAGTCGGCTTTGGGCATCCATGCACTGTTCCCCGGACAGTCCCAGGATATGTGGTCTGACTCTCCACTGTTCAGGTGTCCTAGTCCTAGGTACCTCTTCCCTTAATCTCCGGTTGACCTCAGGGCCCGCTTGGGTTGATTTCATCAGATCACCTGTAACCCTTTGGCTATCAACCAAGCTAACCATGGTTAGCTTGGTTGATAGCCAAATGATGATGAATGATGCAATCAGATGACTGATCTGATTGCATCATTCATCATTTTCTTGGCCTCATATGGTAGGGATCGCATGTATTTGTCTATCACAATCCTCTCCAAGACACTTAGCTTCTCCAGTCAGCCAAGCTTTGGTTACTTGACCGAAGTCATACATTTGTGTCAGTCATGGAACCTCTGGGCTTTTGCTGCTAAACTGTAGCCTGTAATGGGAAAATGATATGTGACCCTTTTAAATGCTTCATTCGTATAACCAGTTTATTAGTTGCAAGTGCTTAGGTCACAAAGGCCCTGACAAAGAACTGATGTCTCCCACTTGGATTAGATGTTTCCAGCGGCATAGCTGTAGAGACTGAACAAAGTGTTTGTTATGTCTATGACCACCTTTGTTTAAGCATGTTGGGAGAGCAAGGACACGGTCAAAGAACTGATGTGTCTCACATGGACAAGGTATTCCCAGTACCCTGGCTGTAGAGACTCAACAAGATGGTTAACGGTTTCTGTTGACGCCACCGATATCTAAGTTTAGGTATAAGAACTGCCTCGATGTGTTGGGAAGAAAAAGGAGGTTCTTGACAGTCTACTGACCACGTAGCTGTTGTGACCCTTTTTCCCTTGCAAGGAAATAAACGGAGAAAAGACATACTTGACTCAGAGCCTTTGATTCTTACTTAACGATTGTCTGTGCAAAATCTTCCACCACAAGCCATACCTTGCCAGGATTCCCTTTTTTAAAACCGCATATTCCTTGTCCGGGTCCATCGGGAGGTCAAGGTAGGCTTGCTGGGCTGGACGGACAAGGAACGGGCCAATGAGATATGCTCAGGTCTTGTTGGGCCAGCCCTCCCTCTTACCTGTGCGCTCGAAGGCCATCAGGTAGGCCTCTATATTGTGGCTCTGTCATTTTGGAAATGAACCGGGTGGGATTTGGCTGACTGGTCCTTTCTCTAGGTGTGTGCCTGCCTTCTGCCTTTGATCCTCAACCGACCTTTTATGAACATATCAAATACCTATGCAAAACCTCCTTCTATCATCTCAAATTCCTCACCAATTCCGCCAAACTCCTCACCACTTTGACCCTGTCAAAGCTCGTCCAGGCCTTTAGCTCTAAGATGGACTACTGTAACTAACTTCTTCAAGTGTGTGTGTGAGATGATGGGCAGTCATTTAGAATCGGTTTAGTTTCAGGTGGGAAGGATGGCTAGCAAATGTTGCGTATAGAAAGCCCTGTCTTTGTCATTTTCAGTTTATAATGATGGGGGATTGAGATTACATGCCTAGTAATATGCAATCATATCATATGCAATCAAGCATCAGGGAAAAAAATGAGTCTCATTCTGACAAACCCCTGCATCAACGCAAATTATTTCTTAGACAACATCTTTATGTGTGCATGCTGCGTGTGTGTGTTCGTGTGCCCGCAGGAAAGTGCCCGCATCCTACACCGCCCATCACAATAATGCAAATTAGGCGTCATTGACGGCGCCCTCCCCCTGTTGTCACCTTTTTCACCCCTCCTGGTTTTGCAGGTCTGATTTAAACCACAGGTATGTGAGTAAGTGCACTCTATCCATTTATTCTTGTTTAACCATCACGTGACTAAAATCCACTTTAAAATGTAAAAATGCACAACACAATTAAAACAAAGCCCTTGGACCATCAGGGGATTACAACTTGACCGCATGCAAAAAAACAACAACATAGTTACACTGAGAAAGCCATAAAAAAGTATCTTTCCTTTTCAACGTAACAACATTAGAGTCAACAGTGATCAGAAATCATTTCACAACATTCATAACTTCATTCATAACTGATTAATTACTCTGGAAAGTGGCCCATACAAACACAGTGCTGTACCATGAGATCTTTGACTAGGTCAATTCAGGGGGTTATTTAAAAGCTCAGACCAATATAAATATCTTTGTATTCAGGCTTACCCGAAGGCAACCAACCTAAAATGAAATCTCTGTAAAATTACAGCTATAAAATTATTTAAAAACACACAATTCCAATAATTGTTCCTAAACAACATAGGCGCACAGGGAAACATTTGGCAGTTGGTGTTAAGAGAGACAGGCGAGATGAGTCGGCACCTCTGTGTGTGTGGGTGTAGTTTGAATATCTCAGAGGGTGTTGCTGTGGATATCACAGGGATAAAAGCACTTTCTTGATGTAAGCCACGGTCGTGTAGTTCACCAGCATGTCCACGTGTTCGTTGGCCGGGAGTTCCAGCAACGTCACCGGCTGCTTCTGCCGTCCCACCCACCGCCCGCACTGGACGGCGCTCCATAGGTTCACCGTCCCATCCCCGTCGCCCAGCACCACCGTGGGCTCCACGTCGGGGAAGTCTTCCGAGTACTTATAGGCCTCGGCCGTGGCGACGCCGCTGCCATACAAGCAGTGGACGGCCACGCCTGGCGGCGTGAAGTCGGCCACTAGCGTCTCTGTGTCCTGCCGCATCTGCCAGCCGTCCTCGAAGCCGATGTCCGTGTAGAGCCTCTTGAAGTCCAGCACAGTGTAGTTGGTGGTGGGTGTCTGCACAAACACCTGAGGATGGACGGAGAGGAAAAAGTGTTTCTTTACTTGTTTGAGTTTTACCATTTTCATTTAAAATATATTTTTTCCATCATGGAGTTTTTAAAAGATAGCTTAAATGTTTCATTCTAAGAAAACGTGCATTTTTGTTGCTCTGTATTAATCCAGCATGCTGGGATTTACATTAATAATCACCGCTGGCAGTGCAGTATGCCATTTCAACAGGTTCTCCTTCACCTTCATTGAAGATACATTTATAATTGAGTTGTGCTATCTTGAAAAGCTGTTTTTGCCATCACGAGAGACGTCCTTTGGTCAACTTGACTAAGGTGCAATACTCACTCTCCTTTCTGCTTTCTGCCAACTTTAAAAAGAAGTACTTGGTTCTTAAGCTGTTAACATGCTGGTTGCTCTTTGTCATTGAGCTGTTGTTGCAGCAGTTGCCTGTTGCTACTGATAACAGTTAAGTGATTGCTTTGATAAAAGACAGATGCCGAGTGTAAAACCTCAAACTGGCCTCTGAAGTTCTGTCCTAAAATCAGGGCCGGCCAGAATGTCTTCACTTGTTGGAGAAAGGTTTTCTTTTCTCCCTTATCTTTGAACTAAAATGTGTCATCCAAAACAAACACACAAACACCCACATACCTTATCTTTGGGCCAGGAGTTGGCATAAGGGAGCAACCAGGTGGTGGAAACAGCAGAACGTTGCTGGAAGCGAACCTTCAGTGAGCTGATCACCGGGATGCGGTTATTATCACCTGTGGGTAGACAAACAAAACTGTTGAGGTAGAACTAAAACCTGGCTGGGAATTTTTTGCCTCAGACCCCAAAACCAGCGGGGAGCAGTTCTCTGTTCACTGTGTGTGAATGTCCTGTGAGACACAGATACACGGTGCAGTGTGTTGTACAGTCCCGTTCACCAGTGTGGCAGGTTGTACGAGTAGAGCAGGGAAACATTTACAGCCAATTGAGGATTGGATGTAAACGTCCTTTTTCCATTTCAGCGTGATCAAATGGAGGAACAAAGTACGGGTGAGACCCGTCGTTGCACTACACAAGCTGTCCAAATCACGTGCTTTTAAACGGCACTCGTCTACCTGCCCCAAATCGGCACTGTTCACAGAGCATCATCTCCTGTAGCTCAGCTAAGCTATATAAAGTATTTTAGCATCTTTAAGCCCATTGTATGGGGTTCTTCCAGCAGCCACTTAATTGTCATAAACCTCGTCCTGAGCTGTAGCAGGCAGCCTTTTTATAGACAAGTTTCCTGAGTGAAATAAGCGGGCCGCCATTGGCCTTTCACTCTGCCAACGACTTCCGGTTGTGTCTGCAAAGCACTTCCGGTTAGCGAGTTAGCTTCTTTTACGGTCATTGGTTAGCGTGCAGAAAAAGTAAACTATGGATGGTGTTACACGCCGACACGGCTCCGGGACATATTGTGCTGTTCACGGTTGCAACAACTCGTGGCGATTGCTGAATGTTTGGTCGGAAGGAGAATGTTTCGACCATCTACAAGTGAGTAAAATGCTATAGATTTGCACTCAAATACGGAAGGCTTATCATTCACGGTCAACACAGTCTACTAATCATTACGCAGATGAATGTCAGCTTTTTCATAGAAAAAAAAGTAAGTTAATACCTTTATCCATTCCAAAGCTATTAATAGATATTCCCATATCGTGTAAAAGTACACAGCCCACTGTCGGAATGGAGGTACTGAAACGCCTCTGAGCTTTTCAGGTTATTAATTGCATTCCCATCCACCGCCATGGAATCAATAAAATAAGAAAAGATCTTGGATGTTGTGATGCTGGGCCATATCGACATGCTGTCCGCCCATGATGTTACCTTACTTGGATGCGGAATGGTCAAAACACCATTTTTAACAAGATTTTCGGTCGAATGTTGCCATTCCAAAGCCATTTTTACACCACTACTCAGCCTGCGCCGGAAGTTCTTGGCAGAAGCAGGAAGTAAACCGGAAGTGCCCTGGAAACTTGTCTATAGTTTTGGTAAACCTACGTAGAAACAGACTGACAAAGTTAGCAACTAGCCAGGGAGAGCAGTTAGTGGCCCTGGAAAAAAGGGAACCTGAACTACCTAAAAGGGAACCTGCTCTACCTCAGAGGGCTTTTAGTTTGGCAAAATAAACTTTGCAAATGAACAAAAACAAAAGTGGGCCTCGAGTGAACATGGCATGATAACGTTCCGTAGCCTCAGATTTTTAAAATCTGTGACCATTCTGAAGGATGGGACCGCGGACAGACAACCTGCCTCCAATACGGGGCATAAAAACTCAACATAAAAACAAGTGAAGACTGATTTCTGTGGAGATTGTTTAAGTTCTCGTGAGCTGTCTTTGTTTCATTTAGGAATTTTTGGGTGACGACCGTATTTGTCTATAACAAAACATAAAGCACATCAGACCCGCTCCACCTCTTACCGGAAATGATCACACGGAGGGTCTTGGCCACGCCCCCCCACGGCGCTCCCAGAGAGATGAAATCTTTGATGTATCTGTCTTTCCAGGCCTGTGGCTGCTGGTTGAGGAAGTACAGGGTGTACAGGTTTCCCATGCTGTGAGCGATGATCACCACGGGCCCCCCGGCCTTGTGCGCCATCTCCTCAATCATCTTTTGCAGCGCCAAAAAGTACTCCTTATTCTCATCTGGTAAGAAGACAAAAGAACAACAAAGAAAATGAGAAAACTACATTCCCCCTTTGGCCCAGGAGTAAAGTTCAAGTAATTTATTGGAACACTTTGTTTAATTCCTTGCTGGATTTGAGATGGAAGCTACAAGGGGGGTGCAAACCCAAACACACACACTACCAATAAAACTATAACAAATAAAATTACAAAAAACTTTGAGAGAGAGAGAGGGAGAAAGATATTTGCGACTGGGGAAAAGCGCGAATCAGATAGTTTGTTCCAGCTAAAACGGAGCCAACGGCACAATGAAAAGGTACAAGTATGAAAATATAACGAGGCATATCCACGAGTGTCTTAAAATAATGCTGGCACACAGCATGAGGCCCACTAAATTGACAAGACTTTGAAACACCCCACCCTGAAAATATTAATATTATAATATTCACAAGACTATGATCCTGCTGTTAAATATGTTGCTGAAAATAGATTGTTTGCACAGAAAGTAAGTTAATTTTATTGCAAAAAAATAGTCTACTGTGGAGTGAAAATATCCATCCATCCATCCATCCATCCATTTTCAACCGCTTATCCGGGGTCGGGTCGCGGGGGCAACAGCTCCAGCAGGGGACCCCAAACTTGCCTTTCCCGGGCCACATCTACCAGCTCTGACTGGGGGATCCCAAGGCGTTCCCAGGCCAGTGCAGAGATATAATCTCTCCACCTAGTCCTGGGTCTTCCCCGGGGCCTCTTCCCAGCTGGCCGTGCCTGGAACACCTCCCTAGGGAAGCGCCCAGGGGGCTCACCAGATGCCCAAACCACCTCAACTGGCTCCTTTCGACGCAAAGGAGCAGCGGCTCTACTCCGAGCTCCTCGCGAATGGCTGAGCTTCCCCGACTACGCCTCGATATCCTGTCCATGAAAACCACAAACAAGATTGGTGACAAGGCGCAGCCCTGGCGAAGGCCAACCCTCACCGGAAACGCCTTCGACTTACTGCCGAGCACCCGAACACAGCTCTCGCTTTGGGCGTACAAGGATTGGATGGCCCCAAGCAAGGACCCCCTCACCCCGTACTCCCGCAGCACCTCCCACAGTATCTCTCGGGGGACCCGGTCATACGCCTTCTCCAAGTCCACAAAACACAAGTAGATTGGATGAGCATACTCCCAAGCCCCCTCTATGATCCTGGAAAGAGTGAAGAGCTGGTCTGTTGTTCGAGTGAAAATATGTACTTAGGTAATATGTACTTACTTTAGAAAGAAAACAGAGTTTATATATTATAATGCAAAACCAAGATGGTGTGACCCATGTGGGCTGGGCCCCTCATCATCCATTATGTTAAAGTTTGGGAACCACTGCTCAAAGGGCACTGGACCAGTTGAAATATGTGTGGCTGATCACGATGATGATGAACATTTCACTTTCCAGTAATAGATCAGTTACAGACCGGCTGATATATTTTACTTGCAGTCTGTCTTGTATCGAGGACAAAGAACCAAGTGTCTTATATTATACACTCATGAGATCATTATGGGGCACAAAGTGAACTGAAAACCAGTGAGAAGGTAGGTATCCAGCAGTCACTCGACTTCCTCGCTCTCACCGAGACCTGGATCACACCTGAGAACACATCCACCCCAGCCGCTCTCTCCTCCGCCTTCTCCTTCAGCCACACTCCCAGGCCCACTGGTAGGGGTGGTGGCACAGGTCTACTCATTTCACCCAAATGGAGCTTTTCTCTCTACCCTCTACCACCATCCACCCCATTGTCCTTTGAATTCCATGCTGTAACAGTCACTCACCCGGTACAATTAACCATCGTTGTCCTCTACCGTCCGCCAGGCTCCTTAGGTCATTTCTTGGAAGAACTGGACATTCTCCTGTCCAACTTCCCCGAAAATGGACCTCCGCTCATCCTCCTGGGTGACTTCAACATCCAGACAAAGAAGTCATCTGACCTCTTACACCTACTTTCTTCCTTCGCTCTGTCACTCAGTCCCTCTCCTCCTACTCACAAAGCCGGCAATCACCTTGACTACATCTTTACTAGAAACTGCTCTACCACTAACCTCTCTGTAACTCCACTTCATGTGTCTGATCACTTCTTCATCTCTTACTCCCTTCCACTCTCTATAACTAACAAACCTCCCTCATTGACTAACTCTATACCGGCTCGTCGCAATATTCGCTCCCTCTCTCCCTCCTCGCTGGCATCCTCTGTTCTATCAGCTCTCCCTTCAACTGATTCCTTCTCACTCTTGCATCCGAACGCTGCTGCAGAGACTCTCCTCTCAACTCTTTCCTCCTCTCTAGACTCTCTCTGCCCTCTTACGACACGACGGACTGGCAAATCCCTTCCGGCTCCGTGGCTGTCTCAACCGGTCTGTGCCATGTGAGCCACCATGCGAGCGTCGGAAAGGAGATGGCGTAAATATAAACGACCTGACGACCTGCTTAAATTTAAATCTCTCCTCTCCTCGTTTTCTGCTTCTATCTCTGCTGCCAAAAGCGCTTTCTACCAATCCAAAATCGAATCTTCATTTTCTAACCCCAAAAAACTCTTCTCGATCTTCTCCAATCTCCTCGAACCCCCTACCCCTCCTCCCCCCTCCCCCCTTCTTCCGGGAGACTTTGTCAACTACTTCACCAAGAAAATAGCTGACATACGCTCCTCCTTCTCAAACCCACCTCCTACTTCTCGCGTCGCACCGACCTCACCTCTTTCGCCCTCACTTTCCTCTTTCACCGCCCTCTCTCCTAACCAAATTCTTACCCTAGTAACCTCTGCCCGTCCGACCACCTGCCCTCTTGACCCCATTCCATCACATCTTCTACAATCTATCGCACCTGATCTTCTTCCGTTCCTCACCTGTCTCATCAACAACGCTCTGTTATCTGGCTGTTTTCCCAATTCTCTGAAGGAGGCAAGAGTCAACCCCCTCCTGAAGAAACCTACCCTCAACCCTTCTGAAGAAAACAACTACAGACCGGTCTCTCTTCTTCCCTTTTTGTCCAAAACCCTTGAACGTGCTATCTTTAATCAACTCTCCTCTTATCTCCACTGTAACAACCTCCTTGACCCCCACCATTCAGGTTTCAAGGCAGGCCAATCCACAGAGACTGCTCTCCTTGCTGTCTCAGAGCAACTCCACACTGCTAGAGCCGCCTCTCTCTCCTCTGTCCTCATCCTTCTGGACCTATCTGCTGCATTTGACACGGTCAACCACCAGATCCTTATTTCCTCCCTTCAGGAACTTGGTGTCACAGGCTCTGCTCTCTCCCTTCTCTCGTCCTACCTCGACGGCCACACCTACCGGGTAACCTGGCGAGGATCTGTGTCGGAACCTTGTCCTCTTACTACTGGAGTTCCTCAGGGTTCCGTGCTGGGTCCCCTCCTGTTTTCGCTTTACACCAACTCTCTTGGCGCTGTCATTCGCTCGCATGGCTTCTCTTACCACAGCTATGCCGATGACACCCAACTAATTCTCTCCTTCCCTCACTCGGACACCCAGGTGGCGGCTCGTATCTCTGCCTGTCTAACTGACATCTCTCAGTGGATGTCCGCCCACCATCTGAAAAGCCACAACCCCGACAAGACTGAACTACTTCTCTTTCCTGCAAAAGATTCGCTTACCCAGGACCTGACAGTCAACTTTGGAAACTCCGTACTAACGGCCACTCTGACCGCTAAGAACCTCGGCGTCACACTCGACAGCCAACTCTCCCTGACTCCCAACATCGCCGCGACAACGCGATCCTGTAGATACACGCTCTACAACATCAGGAGAATACGTTCCCTTCTCACTCAGAAGGCAGCGCAGGTACTGATTCAGGCTCTTGTCATCTCCCGCCTGGACTACTGCAACTCCCTCCTGGCTGGTCTCCCTGCCACTGCCATTCGACCTCTGCAGCTCATTCAGAATGCAGCAGCTCGACTGGTCTTCAACCTTCCGAAATTCTCCCACACTACTCCACTCCTCCGCTCTCTTCACTGGCTACCTGTGGCCGCCCGCATCCAGTTCAAAACATTGGTGCTCACGTACCATGCTGTGAATGGATCGGGTCCAGCTTACATCCAGGACATGGTCAAACCCTACATCCCAACCCGCACTCTCCGCTCTGCATCTGCAAAACTACTCGTTCCTCCCCCACTGAGAGCAAAACACTCGACTAGATCTCAACTCTTTGCTGTCCTTGCGCCGAAATGGTGGAACGAGCTCTCTGAATACACCAGGACCGCAGAGAGCCTTCACATCTTCCGCCGCAAACTAAAGACACACCTCTTCAGACTCTACCTCGACTAAAGACTAACAAATTGTAGCACTTAAATTGTACTTGTAACGTCACTCATCTATAGCAAATTGTAAATTGGCTTATTTGAGGAAATTGCACTTTCTTGTTTCTTGTTCTCCTGAGTTTGTACCCTATGGTTGAATGCACTTATTGTACGTCGCTTTGGATAAAAGCGTCCGCTAAATGACATGTAATGTAATGTAATGTAGACAAATACTATGTGCGCGCTTGCAGTTAAATGTCCAGAGAGAATCAATACACGTAACAATGAACACTTTAGCTGAAATGTACACATGTGATTCACTCCCAATGATAATCTGAACAACCGTTGAACCGCATGAAATGGTACTTTGAGAGGGGGGAGGGGGGTGTTTGAGCAAATGATGCATGCAGGATATTCCTAGATAGTCTGAGAGGGTTCAACACTACCATTATTTTATGGGCCTTTAAAAAATCACCTCGGTCCGACCTCTCCAACATGTAAGAGGAACAATATGCATTTTAGATCGGTTTAGTTGAAAAGTTTCTCTAAATCCTGAATCTAAAAGAGAAATGCATCCGTTTCTGTGTGCCTCACGTCTGAAATATTCCAGCACTTTGTACTCATACTTCTTTCCTGCTGAGAGGAACAGTTACACATATTTAGCAGTGAAATCATCTTATGAGACGCGTGAAAACCGTAGGTGAGGACGGCGGCTCAGGGGTTGAGAGTGTGTGCGTGTTTGTGAGTGTGCGTGCGTGTGTGTGTATGCGCCTGGTTTCTTACTGGGGGCTTTCCTCCAATCATAGGGAGCTCCTCTCACGTCATCATCTCTGGTGTAGCCCCACTCGACCATTGCCTGCACTATATTGAAGAAATACATGCCTAGGAGACATGCAGGAGAGGAGGACGACACTTCAGTGGAGTCCCGATTCCTTTTGGTCAATTTAGAGATCAAGATAGTGAGGACAACTCGCTCTTACTGCGAGCCGTTTGGTTTTACTCACCCACACTGCGTTTGCTTGGGTCCAGATACTCCACCGAATAGGTCTGTCCAAACCCCGGGACGCGGATTTCCACACCCGGCGGGGACGAGCTGCTGTGTGTGGTCCTGTTGTAGATCAGCCTGCAAACACACACACCATTTGACCAGAGTCATTTCTGCATCCGAGGTGAACCACAAAGCCCCACTCACATAGCTTTCAGTACTTGACAACAGTACCGCTTCCCATTTCAAATCTCCATCTTACATCAACCGCATTTGCAACAACGCAGATGTAATGGCACATGTCTGCGTTCTGACAAGCAACAGGCAACATTTACAAGAAAATGCTCCCACAATACAATGCAAATCCCCCCCCCCCCCCCCCCCCCCCCAAAAAAAAACAGAAAGTTTAACTGAAACTGCATTGCTCGGTTACATCGTGCCATGTCCATTCAGCCTGACGCTCCTGCAGTGGACGCGAACAGTCCTGTAGTGTGACTCGTTAACACGTGACGGATTCTATTTAGTCTATGGTAAATTGACGTTAGCTATCTTCGGATGGGACACTTTTGAGGCAATTGGCTGCCTTTAAGTGTTAAAACATTGTCCTGTAAATTTGAATTGGAGAAACTTTCATAAATTATCGGTACTTAATTCAAATTAAGACCGATTACTGAACTTTGCCTAAAGATGATTGTACAATCTAATCTCTGGTTTCCCACCACCTTTTGTTAAACGTTGATTTTCTGAGCTCAACTATTGTGTATCTGCGTTAAAAAATGTGTATTTTGGGGCCACAAAAATGCCATGCAAGCCAGTCCCATGAACGGCCTTCACACCATCTGCCATTTGTACAAGTCGCCCCATGCTGCTGCCTCGGTTTCACAAGAGGAGCATCAGTCAAGATGAAGAAAAAAAAATCAATCTTCTATCCTGTTTCCACCCTTACCTCGCTGATACAGAGTCCAAAGTCAGTATTTTCAACGTAGGTCAACAACTGTTCACACAAAGTCAACCAGGTCATTGACCCCGATCTACCAAACTCCCTTATGTGACACAGACAGCATGACGAGAATGTGCACAAACACAAAATCATAATGTGATGAGATTTGCATTGATACCTGTTTCATAATTCCTTATTACGATACCTCATGTTGTCCACCCAACAGTCTATGGCTAGGGGGATCAGCAGCTCCACGTTGAGCCACAGCGTGAAGAAGGAGTCGGTCTTCTTATAGCAGATGTAATGGACCACACTGGGTTTGTCCAGCTTTGCCTCCAACTGGTTGCCCAGATCCCCAGGAACTGCAACAGTAGCCACGTTAGCAATGAGAAGCATTTATCAGGCATACTGTTAGCGCAGGTACATATACAGTGTAATGGCAGTAACACATTTAGCATATGCTTAGTGCCGTTGCACTTTATATTATCCAACGTGTTTTTGGTTTTGACATTCACAATTAGTTTATCCATTTATGGACAAAGTGTTTTTGTTCTGCTATGTGTGCTCTGCTGAAAGATGAATTCAGATGTGTACACTGGAATATGAAGCCACTTCTTAATGTTTGATGCCTTGTAGCAAGCACATACACTTCAAAACACACTCATTTTTAAAAGGAAAACGGGATATGGACATTTTCAGCATCAGTTTTTTTTCAAAAAAAAAAACGAGTGAATCTAATTAGACGTTCAGAATCCGAACTAGAAACATTCATTGTCCAAGTATGTTGGACATTGAACAAAAAATAATAAGTTACAATTAAATCAACAATACAATATAAGAGAGATATAACATAATATCTTAAATACAACAAAAAAAAAAAAGCTGGACAGGCAAACAGAAAATACTATATAACAATACTCAGTGCTTTGTTCAAAGATTACTTAAATGGGACGGGAAAAAATAAATCTTTGAATGGTTTAATTATTAACATTTCTTTTTACTAAACCGCACCAGTTGACAGAATGTTTTCTCGCTGGTACATAGTTTCCTTTGCAGCAACACTCGCTTAAGACATCTTGTTGCTTCAGACTGGATCCTCAAATAGCGAGTTCTTCTCTTGCAGCATTAGATGAATAATCAGCCCTTTTGGTTGCGTCACTGTCAGCATATCACAACATTACAGAAGCAACACAGATACAACTATCATTATTTTTAATAGTATTGTAACCAACACATAATGTCCACTCAATGATATCTAGCTGAAGACGGATGAAAGGAAAGATAACACATATTTTGAATGACACGTTTGTGTACACACACACACACAAACGTGGGGTGTGTGTGTGTGTGTGTGTGTGTGTTTGTCGTACAATAAAACTATTTTAACCACTGTTATATAATCAGAAAGGCATTGGTTTCTCGGAGTAGTCTTCTGATGTTGAGTAGGTATTGTTTAGAGATGAGTAACCTTTGCTCAAACAAACTAACAGCACGGGGTCACTGCAGGTCAAGTAGCAACACGGCCTGCTATCAGAGGCTGCGGTTGTAACTCGACCAAACACGGATAAGAATCCGATAAACCCAAATCCCGTTGATAATGGGATGTGAAGAAGCAAAAGGATTTGCACATATGAACTGTTGATTGGCATTACGGTACATCTCATGACCTGGATTGTGAACAGAAATTTATATAAATTGTTTACATAACTGTCTCAGGATTCAACAGTCTAAATCAAGGCTTTATCCGTGTCCTGTGTACATGGTTTGCTTTTTCTGTTTCCAATGGTCATATGATGAGTGAAGTTACACTGCTCTGGTTGTAAACAACCGACCATGACACACACACTACGCCCATTGAACACAAGGACGGAAATATTTACTGATCTCGCAAAAACATGTCAACACTAGCGTGGCGTTCATATTTTTGTTTTACATTTGCCTCACGATGCCCTGCCTAACACCTTTCAGAAATACGACAAATATTAAAAACGCATTCTTTAAAACTGACTGATTATCAATCAATGATAACAAAAAACATTTAGGAAAAGTAGCAATATAAACGAGGTATGGAAAATTTGTACGAATTCGTTGTGCCCGAATTGTCTGAATACTATCCGAATTTGAAATGTGTTGAGGTTTACTTCAAGCTCCCAACGCCCTACGAGACACGCAAGGAGGTCTTAAACGTGCTGAATTCTGAAGGGAGTCTGGTCCATCTTCACTACCGCAGCTAGCTGTTGAGCGGCGTCAATAATAAGTTACGCAATTATTTAGCACACCGGAGATATAAAGAAACAAACACTTACTGAGAACCACGGGGGGCCTCGCGGGCTGACAGGACTTGTCGCCGTGACATTTGTCCAGCGGGATTCCTCTGCTCGGAGCCGACAAACACCACAACAACAACAACAAGCCGACTCGCAGCAGCGGAGAGCGGGCGGTTACGCGCCGCCGAGCCGCCATGGCTCCGGATCTCTCATAGACGGACAGCCATGCTGGTGCCTGTGGGCAGGAGTCTTTGCTAGAATGTAACGGGGGACGAGGAGAGACGGGGCAATAAGAAGGCGCCGGTCACGAGGGGAAGATTACTTGGCGATCCAGCCGGCAACGCAACTTCCGCAATCGAGTCAGAAGTCATCGACCGGAGATAAAAGCGCCGCGTTTAGACTCTACAAGCGTGATCGTTTTTTTGAAATGATGTTGTTTTATTATCAGTGGAAACATTCAAGTACACTTGGCCTTCATAGAACAGTATACATTATCATCGCTAGTTTATGAGAGTATAAACCGTGTGTGAGACTTATTCTATTAAAAAATATTTCATACAGAAAAAACATATAGCCTTATAGAAACAATACAGGTACCTTAAAACAACAAAGAAGGGCAAATGGTGAGGTCCCCTATAAACCTTCCATTACACTCACCTCTTCTCAACTACTTTTATTATCATACATATGTGTCGTTGGGTGAGTGGGCCCTTTGAAAGCAATAATGAAGAGAACATCCATCAAAAGTAAACATCAGGGTTGTGTATTTTTAAGAAGATGTACTATGTGACACTATTTGAAGCCACCTGAATGGACATTAAAAGAAATACAACATTGAACAAAAGCAAGAGTAGGTCGGCTATGTAAAGAAACCATCACTCTGTGTGTTTACTTTTCCACTTTTAAAGGCTTTTGCCTATTCACCCTTAAACTGGACATCGACCTCACTGGGCCTGTCTGATCGTCCCTCCAGGATATGCTGGATTTGATTGAGCACCTGTTCACTGAACACTATGTCTAGGTGGGCCAGCCCCCGGTACTCTGTGACGTGGACGGGCTTCTCCTGTTGCCCCTGCCAACGGTTGCAGAGGCTCATGCTGAAGCTGTCCACCGTGTCGTCCCCGTCGGCGTAAACAAAGTCCACCGGGTCCATGTCGGGAAACTCCTCGTCGTAGATGTATGTCACCGGAGTCGGAAGCCCAACGCCATACATACACCACACCTCGACGCCAGGAGGCTGGAGATCCCCGGTCAGGTTCTTGGTGTCCTCCCACATGTGCCTGGAACAGCAGTGTGATTGGGTTATGAAAAGGAGCGGTACAAGAAACAACGCTTTAAAGCAACTATAGTCAACGTTCACATTTCACTTTGATAGTGGATCACAGGACTTCTTATGAAGGGGTTGGTTTGCATTGATGAAGCCTCACAGGATCATCATGTCACTGTGCAGCTTGCTTTATGGAACCTCACTGCATACTGCAAGTACTCCACTGAGTACTGAGTCCCAACCAAATGACTTAAGTGGGCAATCTGTCAGATTTTACACAGAGGGACGGGACAACCCTCTGTGTTGGGACAACACAGCGCGTCAACTAGGGTGTCCGGACAAAATGCCTCAGTGGCTTAAAGCGTAGGCTTAAGCCTGATTAATGCTTCTGCGTTTTTAGAGCAACGCAGACGCAAGCCCCCCTCTCACATTTCCGCTTTCATAGCCTGATACCGCCATTATTAAAACGAAGAATGTGAGAGAACGGATCAGATTTAAGAACTTTTGTCGGAAGAAATGCACAAATATGACGGGTTGTAGAAGCGGGTTGGATTCATGGAGGAAGATCGCCGCAAACACCGGTTTGCCGGTCGAGAGGTGCACAAAGTTGTGGAGGAAAATACGGGACAAATGTGTCCGCGATGAAAAGCAGCAGTGGCGATGCACGGGGCAATAAAGTCTATGATAAATAAATAAACAAATAAATAAATAGACGTGACTCTCTAGGTCGTCTTCAACAAAACACGTTACTCCGCCTGTTGTTCTGGCGGTAAATTGCTCTGCAACACACGCAGAACCATGAATTGAAACGAGTGCGTCGACGCAACGACGCAAAAGCAAACGCAGCATGCGCCGGCCTTTAGCCTCTATATTCTTCATACTGTGTGCCTGAGTATAACTGTATTCACCCTCAGTCTGAAAAGCCCCTTTTTCCCGCCGTCTCGCTAAGCTTCCCCTGCTAAAAGAGCTTGGATTGGTCAGCGTGTTCAACTACACGGAGCTTAGCGGCACCGAAACCGTATGGAAATCCTGACGGCTCATTTTAAGGCACCGTTTCTGAATATGGCCGGTGTATTTATATACATTGTATACATGTATTAGAGCAGCGACCCAAAGTGTGGGCCGCCAAGGTACTGCAGGTGGGCGGTGAGAGGTAATTTACAATAAATAAATAAAATGGTTTTGATTTTCAATTTTGAAATTAATATAAAAATATTTATGATTTAAATTACGTGTTATTCTTTTATCTGACCTATTTTTGATCCGTTCGCTCGAACCGGCTGCTCTTGTCCGCCTGTCGTTATTCAACAAAAGGTGCCGCCAAATAAAACAATGTCAAATGGGGCGCCCTCTTGTAGTATTAAAGTAAATATATATGCGCTCCCGAGAAAATGCTATACAAAACATACATTGCCGGTTAATACATTTTTAATCGGTTAAATTCTTAAGGTCATTTAATCGTCCCTAGTTTATGTTTTGATCAGAGTTGTGATTAAAGATTTGGGTGGGCCGCAGAAGATTTTCAGATTTCAAATTGGGCCGCGGCATTCTTGAGTTTGGGAACTGCTGGATTAGAGCATTGTCTACCATGAATGAGTGATGTAGACACTCCATACTTATTTGCTGCCAACATCGGTGATCTACATAATTGAGCAGGTTATCATGCGCCTTCAGTGGCACAACTGATACTGATATAATTAAGTCACCTTTCTGTAAATCATTCAAATTCCCAAAGCAGTAGGTGGGTGAAGCATTCGGGTTACCATCCGTCCTCAAAGTTGATGTCTGTGAAGAGGCGCTGGTAGTCCTGGTTGGTGTAGTTGAAGGTTGGTGTGGAGATGAACACGTGGTCCTTTGGCCAGGCGATCTCAGACGGCAGCATCCAGGGATTGGTCGTTGACATCCTCTGCTCCTCGCGGATCTTGATGTTGGAGATCGTAGAGATGCCGTCGTTATCCCCTGGGACGTCGGGAAAAGGTCTTAATAAGTAGCCGTTGCATATGCCAATTTGAGAAGCCAGAATGTAAATCAGGTGGTTGTTCCCTGCCCTGAGAGGTCGTAATGTGGAGAACAACAAATACGAAACATTCAGAGCCTCTTCTATCGGGCTGTATTCTATTGAGAGTACCTGACACCATGACTCTGAGGGGTTTAACAGCACCACCCCAGGGAGCTGCCAGGGAGATGAAGCCCCTGATGTACTTGTCCTTCCAGGCCTGAGGCTGGTGGTTGAGGAAGTACAGCACGTAGTGGCAGCCCATGCTGTGTCCCAGCAGGTAGACGGGCTTCTGGTACTGCTCGTACATCTCCTCAACCAGCTCCTCCAGCTTCGTGAAATACTCCTCATTCTCATCTGTGGGAGGAAGGTGACAAAGATAAGTGTTGGTAATCTACACACGTTGTCAATATGTTGTATTACCACCATGTTATTGTGTGTCTAACATCCTAGCATTTTTTGGGGCCACATGAATGTTTTTTCACGTTCCTTTTTGCTATGTTTTGGTCTCCACCAGCGTCTTGAGGTGAAATACATATTTTAGCTGCTAAATGTTGGATTTTCTTCAGACACTGGTCACTGTGGCCCCACTTTTACGCCACAATGAGCCGGAGTAAATCAGTATCAGTTGGTTTAGTAGGCACAAAGTGAATATAAGACAGCTATACATCGGGTGACCCAACAAGATTTCAAGTGAATGCTAACGTAGCTCTGCGCTTGCTAACATGTGCTCCACTATGTCAATGTTGTGTTTTGTGCTTGCTTCGAGCTTGCTGCCCTGGAAGTGGCCAAGAAATTGATGCAGTTGTCCAAAAAAACAGTAATAATCACTGGAGCTTTAAATCACTTTTTGGGAGCCATTCATGAGTCACACACATTTTTCTTTGTCATTCTGTTGTTTAATCCAGAAATATCAGAGAAATGGAGACCAAATAGCAACTACGCAGGTATGGTTCCTTAAAATGACCCTTATTCCTGTCGCCTTCATGTTTCTAAGCCAAAACAAGCTATAAATGCCTTGCAAAGTTACTGTGTGAGTGTGGATGTTGCTTGTGTAGTTTTGAGACTTACTAGGAGCTAATCTCCAATCATATGGTGCTCCTCGGATAGTCTCGTTTCGGGTGTAGCCCACGTTGACCAAATGTTGCACCATTGTGTAAAAATAACCTGCAAAAAAACAAGTAGCACTTAGTCAATAGTACCAGACGGCCGAATCAGCATTACCGGGAGCGAAGTGGCTGAGCATGACCAAAGTGCATCTAAGACACTCAAAGAAATCCAGAGTAAGAATCAAGCCCAGTGCCTATTCATTTGTGTAGGACAAATTCCTAGATAACATGGCTTTAATTAAATATTTTCTCATTTCTATATGATTAAACAAAGAAATGCACAGGCAGAGAACAGAATCCACCAGCACAGAGGCATCTTCATTTTCTCACCAGCCAGTTTGTTAGAGTCTAGAAACTCAATGGGATACGTCTGCCCGAACCCAGGCACCCGCACCTGCACCCCCGGTGAGTTGGACGATCGCCGACTCGTCCTGTTGTAAACAAGTCTGTTGCATGCCGACCCACATTCATTTCAGTCCAGATGCACAAAAAACATTTGAGATATACAAAACAGTACAATTGATCTGACTGGATTTTGAAATATTTCAAGGTGATACATGACACAGGCATTAAAGGGAAGTCAACGTTACCTAATGTTATCGATCCAGCAGTCAATACCTATAGGCATGAACATGTTGAGGTCAATCCACAGGGGGAACCATTGCTCTGTTTTCTTGTAGCACATCCAGTTGACCAACGACGGCTTGTTTATCTTTGCTTCCAGACGGTTACCCAAGTTCCCAGGCACTGCTCACACACACACACACACACACACACACACACACACACACACACACACACACACACACACACAAACACACAAACACACACACACACGAGTTACACTGCGAGGTCCGCACGGAAAGCTCACGTGGGTCGGGGGTAAAAGGTGATGAGGAATACAGGAAGTAGAAGGCATCGAATAGCACCCGCAAGGCCAGGTTCCGCAAGGTTAGCAGAAAATAAACCCCGCCTCAGATCTCCATCCCT